TTTTGAGCAGTCTCGTGGCATCTCTAAGGAGCGGAGTTATCCGGCAAGGCATGTGGCAGATATCTCTATCAAGCGGGGCAAGCAATCTTCATCAAAGGAACACTTTCTAACAATCTGACATGCAGATAACAACTCTGACAGATCTAAACTGAAGATCCTGCTGTTGGGCTCCTGGGCAATATACACCTGTACATCTTACAGTCAGCTCACTGTTAACCACTTGTGTTAACTCAATAAAAGTTATTTCAGTTCACGAAACACTGAGTTACAGTTAGGTTTTCAATGGAAATGTGAAAAGGGGAATTAATGACCTTGAATGAGATAATTATTAGTTGCAGACGGATATTCAAAAAGTACAGAGCAGAACATAAAGAGGTGCGATAGTCAGGTCAGACTGTGCTACCCCAGACAGGCAATTAAAAAAAAATGCAAATTTTCATTAGTAAAGACACGCTCTGACATCCTACATCATGCAGCTGAGGATGAGGGGGGGAAACGCACCACTTACCACAGTGTCCTGTGAAACAGTCGTCCACTTGCTTGAGCTCCAAAGATTTACCAGCCAATGGGAATCACAGGTAGCCTCCCTTCAGCCAGCTCCAGTCAAACTTCTCATGTGGATGGGGAAGGAGGAGAAGCGCCGACTCTTATCATGAATGCTCTGAGACCGACATGCACCTTCAGTGTTCATTTCCAGCAGACTTCACGGTGACTCCCAGACAGACTAATCCAAATCAGAGAGGGATTCTTATCTCCTGAAACATGTCTTCACCCGGCTGCTGTGCATCGGTGAGACGCGGCGCGGAGATGCGGTGCGTTAGACGCGCTCGGGGGGAAAAAAAGTGACCCCGTCTCTGCCTCTGTTTCTTGGACTGACTACGCGGATAGATGGGCTGCAGCAGTGCAGGCTTACACAGGAAAAAAACACGTCTTAATCTGCAGCTCGCTCTCTCGGTGTCGCTTTCTTCTCGCTTTCTTTCTGTCTCCCGCCCCTGTGTCTGCCTGCCTCTCTCCTCCATTCATCCCTCCCTCTCTAATTTCTGCACATCTCATCTGAGCTTTATTTAGAATCACAGAGCATCTACAGTGTCATGCATTTGTCAGTTATATTTATAAGCTATAAACAAGGTCATTGAAAGCATCATATTTTTCAGCATCAGAAAACGCATATCTAAACTTTTAAAATAATACTTGTCTGATATCTTTGCTTTACAAAATGTGATCATTGAGACTTTCCCTCTTATGGTCACATGGTCAACCTGCATTTTGTAATGACTTGTCTTCCTGAGTCAGTTAATTTGGAGAAAATTCTCTTTATCCATGTTTATTAAAGTGACTATGACTCATGTTTACCCCTCAAAGCTTTCTGTAAATAAATAAATAAAGCAGGCATGTGATGGAGTTATATCTTTAAGTTCTGGATCAGACATTTTTCTTGGAAATGTTGTGGTCGAAGTTGCCTTTAATTTCAGCCTCAGAGGGAATTGGCCAGGGTTGGTGCTTTACAGATTACATTGCAATAAATGCTGATGTTATCCATGATGACATATATTATGGCTTACCTTTTAACTGTAATACTGCCATATTGTTTCCTTTTTCCCCCTTTCTTTCTGTCTTTATTTTGCACAATGTCATTAACAGAAATACAGACAAAAATAGAATAAAATAAAACAAAATAAATACCATCCTATGAAGACAAAACTAAAAAAAGAAGCTTTTTATAATGCCAAAATTTGTGTTATATGCATCACATTTAACCGTTTAACAATTTAAAGGTCTTCATAACTTTGTTATTCTTAACATTAGATAAGATGGTGCTGAACTGCTGTTCATAAATAAAGTGCAGGAAAGTCGGTTTGGTTTCTGACCAAGTTGTACAATATACAACATGTTAATTTCAATCTTATCTTTATCAAAATATAGGATTAAATCAAACATATTTATTTCAGCATTGATCTTACGTTTCTTTCTTAAGTTGGCACCATCAATCCGAAACACTCAGGTATATGTACAGTGACAAAATAAATGACAAATACTCTCTTTTTCCAGTCCACAGAAATCACACTTATCATCAATATTCAGCTTGAATCTTTCTAAAGCAAACTTTACTGGGTGAATTCAATGTCATATTTTGAAAGATACTTCCTTAAGATTGTTATTTATTTATTATTTATCTCAGACTTTCCATGTTTTCTCCTACTGTATATCATTAAATAAGGTAGACAAAAAACATACAGATGAAAGTACAGTAATAAATTAATCCCACCAATGTGAATTAATTTCTGCACAAGATTAAGATTAACAGGCAGATCCAAAGCACCAGAGTGTCATAGAAGTATAAGGACACTTTCTGGTATAGCTTTGAAAACAGCAGCATACTCCTTGGTTTTACAGGTGTTTTGAATGTATCCAGAATTTTTTTATATTCCCATGCATGCTCATTATCCACACGGAGACCTCACAAGATTAGATCTAAAAAGGGCACAGCTTATCGGGAGAAAGGAATGAATGAAGGGGAGGAAGTGAAGCTGGGAGATAGCCGTGGGTACAGACAGGTGGTGAAAGAGAGGGAGAGATCATAGCAGAGAGCAAAGAAGGAGCAGGATAGGGAGATGGGGAAGAGGAAATGTTGATATCAAAATATAAATCCGGCACCAATTTATCCTATATTCTTAAGTCCACCCAGGAAGAGGAGGATGTCTGGTGTTGATACTTAAACACATCCACTTGTAAATTCCAAAGGCTGAGGCAAACTGATCAGACAGGGAGCACTTCAAAGAGAAGGCAACTTCAGTGAAAACAAGATTACCAGAGGGATTACTTTCAGTCTGCGCTAGACAGAACATACAGTCAATTTATGAGATCCTCAGCACTGGAAATACCTACAGCAATATCTCAAAGAATTAATTTGATGATATCGTCACTGAAAGTTTAGAGATAGTAACAATGAACATAAAGAGCTCCAAACCCCAGGGGTCACTCTGTGCACACATTAGAACTCAAAACAACTGTGTAACTGGCTCAGTATGACGAGCAACATGAAGCAATGCAACAATTTATTGAACATTTCTGGGATCATCACATCGCACAACCTTCTGTCTGTCTTCCTTTTAGACAGCACTAACTTGCAATATTTTGCACTGACAAAGAACGAAAACGAAAGCAGATGAGACCTATGAACACTCTTTAACTCATATTTCATAGTATAGGTCGAAATGCAGTTCGGTTTCAGGCTCTTATTGAAGGTCATTGTGAACATTCCTGGGTAATAATAACCTGAATATAAGCTATGGGAAGCAAAGTAGAAACCAGGATTATTGCTTCATGGTTCTATGCCTCCACACACCAGATATACCAGACATAAGTACATATGGACAATACAAAAAAATACAGCCTCTGGCTAAGGCTACCTCTGACATGGAGGCATAAAAATGTCAATGACAAGAAGCACACTTGGGTTCTGAACAAGAATACTGTCTAGCTGTAATGTCCAAGTCATGTTGCAAAGTAATGTGCTTACCAATTAGATGTCACTTGAAATCAGATATATACTGCATGATCCGTTGAGGCTCCCGATCCGCTCTTTCTCTCAACCTGTAAAAACGAATTCTTACAGCCGCAAAGGCTCAGTGTTGGCAGTAGGTGTTTTTGTTGTTACTCAACACTCTCTCTTAATAAGGGATGGGTATAAGGTACTCAATACCTTTAAGGTATCAGGTAACCTTTTTTGCAAACCTGCATTCAATCCTTTTTGTACCCAGATCTAGGAAAAAAGACTACTTGTATGGTTTTGTTAGCAGCCAATCACCGCAAGCACTCTTTGATTTAATGCAACGTTTGACTGGCCTACTGTCACAGTAGCTACAACCCAAACATATCTGTGCTGAAGTCCAGTGTATTTGACAGAGTTAGCAGTTCAGCATGCTGAAATGCATTCACCTGATAGGTATCAAATGATGTGGAAAGGTACTGTATCGGTAACAGTATTACTTCATAGGTACTGGTGTTGTAATTTCTTAGATGATACCCAGCCCTACTCTTACCAGTGTGTAGAACAGTGTTAATGTGGCCGCACTTACATTACACAAATTATAAGGAGGTTATTTTAAAGATTCAGCCAAGTGGAAAATACATGAACATCTAACTAGTCTCGCCACCAGACAATCAGAGATCTCTGCCTTCTGATAGTCTGGGGACACTCCTTTCTAAAGTGTGTTTAACACACCAGCGAAAACGGCCGGCAACAAAGCAACGCCTCTTGCATTTTTGAAAAGGACACGCCCTCCAGGAAAAGTGAGATACCCCTTTTATCGTCTGCAAGGAAACAAACACACAAAGAGCTTGAAAATGGATGCCGAGAGATTTAACTCCGTTTTATCAAACGTGTGCTCAGTCCACAAGATTGTGGAAATGAAGGACTTACAGCGACTTGAGCCATTTTGTACCGCTACACGTGTTTCTAGTCAGACTATGTTTACGAGCACAAGAGTTCAGCGAGCCACCGAAGGACCGCCCTGCAGATTTACTATTGGCTCTGCAACGTAGAGAGTTTTTTTGAACTCTGAAATTGTATCCGCCCATCTAAACACAAAATCAGGGAGAAAGTCATCAGTCTTTAGTTAAGCAAAGCGTCTAAAGACTGACTTGTGAGTCTACATCTAACAGCATTATTTATTACAGTGTCATCAGCATATGGGCAGAACTACAATTAAATAGGCCAATGGTATAGAGCTGTGCTTCATGTTAGTTAGGAGTGGCTATTGTATGTCAAGTTAACTAATTATAAACCAGCAGGACTGGAAAATATACTTAAAAGAAGCAGGCATATACTAGAGTACCTGTTACTCATTACCAGCTAAAAATATAAAAGCAACAACTGCAACTCACATGAAATGAAACTCAATTTTTTTCAGTGATTTAGTAAATTTAAAATTTGTAATAAAAATGTTGTAAAATCTGAGACTTGAAGAAGTGTCTAAAGAACAAGACAGACACGTGTGCAGCATTTATAAATCTTATTATTCAACAATATTCACATTACAACATCAACACTGCTCTGCTAGTGACAGGTTCTAATAATCCCAATATATTGTATAGTTACTTTGTAATACATTATCGAGAGGCACTTCCAGTAAGTCTGGCAATAGAGGAGCTACAGTATTGTGTCTAAATTACAAAACAGTAAAAATAAATATTTTTTCTAAAAGTTTTTTGTTATAATATACTTTTGAATCTGTACAGTATATATTTTTTTTATACAAAGTCAAACAATATCTAGAAATAAAATGTCATATTTCACTTAAACAAATACTGGTGAATCATACAATTTCCCCATCCTGTAGGTATTGCTACATGTGTTAAGTGCAAGATACTGGAGAGAAGAAAATAATTGAGTCTGTGAAGCGCCCGCTACAGAAAATAAAAACATACCAGTCTTGTTTGTCTTGCTTTAAAGGTGGTGGAAAAAAAGAAAGTTTGTTTTGGTTTCCTTTGTGACAAACAAGGAAAGCTGATAAATGTAGCATTCAAACAATGTACATACATGTGAAAATGGTATGGCACAGGAGCAGAGCCTTTTAAAATGGCTGAAACAACAAACAATACAAAAAAGGAATGTTTTTGGTTCAGACCATCAAAAGAAACTACAAGGGCTTCAGTCTGAGAACAGAACGGTTGCTCAGGTCCACTGTAGTGCTACTGCTGCCTATTGACACGGCAGTGAAGTAATAACAGACAGCAAAGACGTGTGGACAACGCCGTGAGCTCCGGCCTGTTGTATCAATGCTAAGATGGTTCTTATGTTGCTTTAACCTGTCCTGTCCTCACATGAGAAGTGTTACAAAGGATAAGCATATCCAGACATCCTCGTCCAGGTTCTGGATAACACTGACAAATAAGAAGATGCAAGAAACATGCTCCTTTTAGGGCTCATTTTGTGCAAATCACAAAAAAACACAGAGTTCAAAAAGTGTCTTTGGTTTGCACAAGTTAATCCAGTGTGCAGCAACCCCCTTCCTCTCATCGTCACTTAAAAGAAACCACTGTTACTGGCTTTGACAAACGGACATAATGAAGTTGAAGACCCTGTACTTTTGTTGCTTTAGTGGTGAAATTTATGAATGCAATTGCCTGCTACAAACCACTGGGCCATGTTGCCAAGAAGACTCAGACCAAAACAAAACAGATGACATGAGCTTTCATGCTTTTGTGACCAAGAATCTTTACCTAGGATGAAAATACAGAATTCATAGAGCCAGCAGGTAGTTATTATATTACCAGGGACCAAAAGAAGGGGATTCTCATGAACTTCGAGAGCAACTTAAACACCCTCTGAAAATCTCGTTTTTGCTGACCTCTAGTGATTTAACTTTTCACCTTGCTACAGGGATGTACTTGCCTGGGTCCAGACCTTTAAACCCGCGCACTTCACCGAGTTTGAGTTGACTTATTCCTCTGACACAGCGGTTTCTCGGTTAAAATAAAAAACTACCAATGAGCACCACGGTGGGACTTGATTAGCCAATCAGGACCACGGGTGGGACTAATGTTGTCAGGCTTTTGTCGAGCAGTGTGCCAAGACCAATAAGGAGTTATACCAACAATGAGAAGCGCTAGAGACAAGATAGACGCTGCTATGGAGGCTGTTTGTCTTTACAATATCGACCGACATTGGAGTTAGTTTTACTGTGCTTCTAAAACCCCAGCAAAACAAGTATTTTGGCATGGCTATGCCAAAATGACGTAAGATTCAGATGGATATGTGGGTCTCTAGTGATCAGCTAGGGAAAATCATATCAACCTCCTTTACGAAAATCAGTCAGAGTGGACATAATATCAGACTGAGGACGGAAATGGAATTTAACAAGCTCACAATTCTGTCTGATATCTGGCAACGGATGTACAGAACAGTAGGGCTTTCCTATCGGCACTTTTGGACATGCCAAGTCAGATCAAGCTCCGTTGATTTGTGTTTTCATTACCAGTTAAAACGTGCTTATTTGTGGCGAGTGATGCGCAAGATGGACCATCTTGTTGAGCCAAAGCACGCCTGACCACCTTAAAGCTAGTTGCGGTGATGACAGATGGATTTTGTCAGGATTTTAGCAGGCAGGAGATGGGTATCCGGCGTATGTTCATGCAGTGCAGAGGGAAAATTCAAAAACTCTGACAACAGTACAAGAAAGTTGTTGAACACAGGAACACAAGCGTGGCAGACAGAAAAACGTTCTGTTGGTTCACAAGCACAAGTGTGTCATCAGTATAAGATACCTTCAAGCGGGTAGCTCTATTGTATGGAGATGTAAATCTGCAACGCTGAGCTGATGTGCTGAGTCAAACCAAGTCAAGCCAGGCCAGCAAGTGTATTCTGGGGTGTGTCATTACACAGTGACATTACTATTACCACTACTAGGTGTGGTTACAGATGCAACAAAGAAAACATCTCCCATGACACTGATGCAGCGTCTGGTCGGAGGTGAAACCACTGCTTTCAAACTAGTGTTAAGTCACTGTAAACTGGATCCATACCAGCGGTCCAACATGTCTTAGGCCCATTTACTAAACCACTTACATTTAACAATACAAGTGACCTTTGTGACAATGCGTGTTTCACAAGTTTGGATGTATTTCATCAGCTGTTCCAGGCATGCACTGGTTGCTATTCATTTATCACAACATGAAAATCTATAAGCACGCTCTTGAAACTTGTTTGAGTACTTAAATCCCCCCAACGTTCTCAAGTAATGCAGTGCAGAGTTTTTAAATTTATCTTTACTTAAATTGCAAAACGACACAAATTAATCCAGACAAATGATCACTGAGATGGGTTGTGCTAATATATTTTTATACTTAAGAAAAATGGATGAAAACCCTGGTTTGAATTCAAGAAGCAAAGAACTTGCAGAAACACTGGTATGGTCCTTTCATTTTGCTGCAAAAAGAACTGAAACCTGTTCTTAAAAGACTGAAGCAACCAACCAGCTGACCGCCCCCTTACAATATGTCTCAAAAAAACCCCTAAATGGCTACACACAGCTTGGATTGTTCACGGCAAAAATAGCGACCCCATAGTCTATCACAGCTTTGATTAAGTCTCTTTGATTGCTGCACTGTAGTGTACACAGTGAGGCAGGCTGGAAGGGGAAATCAGAGGAGGGAAGCATCTATTTTGACCAACTGGATCCCTAGTGAGCTTTGTATTCTCGGATCCCATACAATTCGAGAAAATAAAGAGAAGGGAGTATGAGATGCTACAAATTCCCAAACACAGAGATGGAGTATGGGATGGTACAAAGGTGAGAAAAGTGTTTGAGAGAAAATCCATTGCAATGCACATTAGATTGCAAGTGAGGCATCAATATACTGTACGGTGCGTTGGGTATTTACAGTGCATGGAGCTCAAGCTCATTCATGTGTGCTCAAACGCCTGTTGTGTACAGGCGGCTTGCTGAGCTTTTTACAGTCTTGCTTATTTTTAGAATAACTGAAGGTTGAAAGCTACGTTGCTGTACAAAGCTTAGAAAATGCTCAACTAAAAGACCCCAGTCAATGCTGTAGTGACCCACAGACGTGCAGATCAGTCATGTATCAGCTGGTGTTTACAGATCGCTGCTACTGGTAGACTTATCATGACAAGCCAACGCAAGGAGAGGCTATTGGAAGACATTTGGTCCAGGAGGGGACTTGGATAAATCTAACTGCATCCAACATTTGTGTTGGCAGGTAAAGCCCAGTTCAGACCACAAATTCGCAGTGAAACAAATTGAAACCTGCAATGCGCTGGTCTACATCACTCTGACACCTGCTAGTTTACACCATGGATGTATAAGGAGAACTGGATACAGTGCTGGAGGAGGGACTCCATTCATTCCTATAAAAGCTGCTCAGTGGCACATGAAGCTAAAAATGTTCAACTGCTGTGTGTAAAATTACCCAGATGATCAGCAACTCTTTGGCATCATTGGGCCATACAGCAAGAGTGGAAAACAAGTCTTTTTGTGCCCTACAGCATCACGTGACGGACTCAGAATTTTGTAATTCCAGTGTTTACCACTACAAAAAATGGCTTCAAAGCCAAGATGGTGACGAGATGGTGATTCGTCTTGGTAGCAAAGACCTTCTGTGCCTCCGTTCTAACTTCTGGCTTTTCAGACTTTTGTTGTAGTTGGATGTAATTTTACAGTGTCTTAAAATATGAATGAGGATAGTAATAGAGTGGCACGCTACCGTTGCATTTCTAGTAGTGATGAAATGGCAGGAACATTAAAAAACCAAGAGGGTCAAGAATTGGAGCTATCCATTGGTGCTGCAACAGGAGATCTCATATTTTTTTCATTGTTCCCAAGAAAAACAGGTCAAATTCAACAATGTTATACAGAACGGGCTGCTCCTCAAATAAATCGATGAGGTGATCCTTTCCTTACTCTGTCTAAAACTCCGCCATTTTGACCACCTGAAAATCTGTAACTGACTTGACCAGCTGATCTTGCTACAAGCTCATTGGCGGTTGAAAACTAGTGACGAGCCTTACGGTGCAAAACCAGCCACTGGCAACTTGAGAAGCTGAGTCACAGGAAACACCGTCAGCCAACTTGAGTCAACCTGAGATGGGCCAGGTCACACTGCTAAAATGGTTTTGTCCTGTCATGAATGTTTGGTCTGAGCTGGGGTTTAGAAACATAATGTTTCAGGGATCTCTTTGCTTTTTCTTTTTTATGGTCCCGAGCAACATAATCTTCTTTCATTACGTACTTATCCAGTGCTTCCGATCTAATTTTCACCAGTGTGGGAGGGTTGTTTCGCTTTTAATTAATTCCTTTGCAGTTTGTAAAGAGAAAGTTTTTCAAAATAAAGGTTAACTATTTAAATATCTGCAATAGTTTCCATTAAAATCTCTGAAACCACAAACAAAACCAGATATCTTGGCGTAGTCATGGACCTTAGTTTTAAAAACCACTTTAGGGCAGCCTATGAGCACCTTAAGAATACATCAAGAATTAAACAACGTATGTCTCAGCAGGATTTAGAAAAATGTCTTTCAGCGCTTATCTTCAGTAGGCTCAACCACTGTAACACTGTCCTTAAAGGTCTCTCTGAAAGTGAATCTGACAGCTACAGCTGATTCACAACGCCAGGAGAGACCACATCAGTGTAGTTTTCAGATCTTTGCACTGGCTTCCTGTGCGTCAAATAATGGACTCTAAAATACTTCTGTTGGTTTATAAAGCTCTGAATGGTTCAGGACCAAATACACTTCTGATCTGCTGCTCCATTATGAACCACCTAGCTCTCTCAGCTGGCCTGGGACAGGTCCGCTTACTGTTCCGAGAGTCAAAACTAAACTCGAAGAAGCAGCATTCACTTTTTAAACATCATATACCTGGAGCAAACTTACGGAAAACTGCTCCAACTCTTTGTTATTTTGAATCAGAGCTTCAGACTTTTCTGTTTGCCGCTTTCATTGTCATCTTCCATTTTATTTTACTCTTTTAAATCCTATTTTAATGTGTCTTTTTATATTGCCTTGTATTTCCTTAATGCCTTTTATGTCTTGTGTAAAGCACTTATTGTTGAAAATAAACTTGCCTTAGCTCTCCTCTCAACTAGAACTGAAACACAAACAATAAGCTCAGGCTTTGGTTAGCACAGACTTTCTTTTTCCTTGCAGTAAAAACAAGCTCAACCACTGCATCCTTTTGTAAGTACATGGAATAAGCATTCAAGGGCATTACGTTGCACAGTTTAGCTCTCCTCTGCACAATGGGCGTTTTGATAACAGTGCAATGGATACAGCTGAGGATTTAGACAGTATTAACATTAGCAAAACTCTAATTGAGTTAAGAAATTGGGTCACAGTAGGGCAAGTTCAGCCAGTAAAAATGTAGACAGTGTCTGCAAACAAACCTGTTAAACAGATTGCTTAGTTTCCTTTTCCTGGTAATGTTTTTCTCTTGTGATCGGCCCTCACCCAAGAACTCACCAGCACGTGAGACTGAATCCAAGTAAGCATTGTGTGTCACCTCGTTCACCTCAGCTACTCATTCAGGAAGGAAATTCTGCAACCGCAAATTTCCCATACCTGCTACAAAACTGAAGCAAAATGACTTATCAATGCTGCTTAAATGCCTCTGACAACTAGTGCCGCTGCAGATATAACCACACACTGCTGACTCTGACTTACCTATCCAAGTCCACCTCCACTCTTGAGCCTGCCTTAAGTCTCAGGCAGCTTCTCAAAAAAGTGCTATCAAAATCTAAGAAGGTCCTTCACGTGTATCAAAATGTGTCACTGTTCACTTTGCAATTCTACAAGTACTTGCTACAGATTGGTACCCTCAGTGAGGACACAAAGCCGCCTTCAGTCTCTGGTTCTGTTCGCCTGTTCCTTTCCCAATGCCAGATCAAATACACTCTACCGTATTGCACACTTTGGATATGTGGATCATCACATGATTGATGATCCACATGATGATGATGAATCCGACTGAACTGGCTCATCTTCAAAGAGTTACATCTAGAGGAATCTACTTAAATGTGAAAAAGATCTGAGCCCCATCTGACCCTTCATAAGCAGCTACAAGTCAAGCCAACAGGCTTCTCCCTCTCCTCCTTCCTGTTTCATTACTAAGTCTCATTACTAAGGCTGTTCTCCTTGTTCACATCACATTCAAATTCATCACCAATCTGAATCTCTGAGGACATCAAAGGGGAGACACGGCCTGTGACGCCATATGCTAAGTCATTATTAAGGACAATAAATGGAGAAAAAAATCCAGAGGTCTGCTGACCTAAGATCAGATATCAGTGGAACTTCCTTTTAATCTATCGCAGAACGTAGACATCATCTTCAATGACAGCTTTTGTCAAAGCACATCTCTGTCATGTAAAATTCTTACATCTCTTATTCTTAGATCTCTTTTATATTTGCTCTCATTAAGGATAGACTACATTTACAAAATATTTTGATTTCCTTAGTGTAGGTAAAAAATAAAAAAAACCCTGACAGTATCACAGAAGATTAGAGACAGCCGCATTTACAGCTGGGAGCCAAAAATCATATCCAAACTGGAATCATATCCAAAATGCCAAGTAGCGAGTATTTGTTAGAAAGAACACAATTGTGGTTCTTATAGGTCCCTAAATGCCATAAACCTATATTACTGCAAACAAAGGCTACATATCTGCAAGGATGTAGCTATCTGCCAGGACCTGTCTATGTGACTACATGCGATACAAGCTAGCATGCATGGCTAACGTCACAACAGTATGACTGACAGACCATGTAATGGACTAGCAAATAGTAAATATTATTTACTTTGTGAATGTTTAGTTAACGCTTGAAAGAATAAAGATATTTTTGGTATATGAAGATTTGACCTCTTTTTTTTGTTGTTGTTAACCATTTTGGAATCAATACGCAGAATCAGAGTCGGCAAAAAACACTAGCAGCCTTTGCAGCCAATCCTGAAATTGTCTTGACTGGACTTAATTATTAACATCATATATATATTAATTATCATTACACATTTCTGCAGCTGAGACTCTTTTTCTGTTTTTTGTTTCGTTTTTCTTTACCTTTTTTTAAAGTCCATGGGTTCCATTACTCAGAAATAGCTGATATCATTTTTTCTACATAACTTTCTTTGCCTCTTTGTGCAACAACAAAAATGATTGAATGATTTAATCTAATTGAGATTTTTAGACAATTTGTTGTGGGTGCACAGCACCCCCTGGATGGCAATAGGAGCCACAGGGTTTTCTTTCTATGTCTCATTGAAGTAAATCCTCTTGGGTGATTTGAGAGCTGTACGTCAGCTCTGGCTCGAGCCACTATGGCTTACTGGATTACTTCACTTTCTGAAACATTTGGCCTACATACCGGCCTATAAATGATACTGCAAAGAAGAAAGAATTCTTGTCATTAGTGAGTACATTACTGTAAAGAAAACAAGTTGGGAAGTGGCATAGACACAAATGACATTTCCTTAACAAAGCACATTACCTTACCAGTTAGTCTTGTGTCTTGTAAGTTAGTTTGGATGTGATTAACAGTGTGAGCAGCTGCTTTGTACAAGAACCAATTGGAGGCTGACACTGAGAGAGCACAAAATAAATAAAATAGAATTGTGATACAGAGTATAACATCGTCAATAACTTTGTTTTCCTTGTGGTACCTTTGTGATCTGCAACAGCATGTCTCTGTGGACATCTGTGAAATAATAGCATCGCAAGCAGCAGAGAAAGAAACTCTTAAAGCAGTGGCAAAGAGAAGGAAACTGCGAGTCCTATTTGATTCTTTTTCTCTACGGGTTTCTGCCTTCCTGAGTTGTGTGGCCTGGAAACGTGTAGGTGTGCTGGACTTACTGAGTAACAAAAGACAGGGAAAAAACATGCTGACAAACATTGTTTTACATGAACAAAACCTTGTTTTGTATGTTTTTCCTTGAGCGAGAATAAAGCTTTTAGAGCAACAGGACCTCTTTGTTTGACTTCCTATCTGTTCTGAGTATGGAATGTGTTTCTACAGTAGCATTGTGGGTGTGTGTGTTTGTGTGTGTGTGTGTGTGTGTGTGTGTGTGTGTGTGTGAGAGAGTGTGGCTGTATGGCTGTATACACAATGTACTACAACTGTCCCTTTCTTTCCATCTCCCTCCGAAATCCACCCGTCTAGCCTCAGAGGACACAGCTTTTTCCCTGGCTTTCATCCCATTGTCTTCAAGGAGAGGGGGCTTGTTGCACATCCTCAGCCAGCATGGGAGCACTAAGAAGGGTGGAGCGGGGCTCGTGACAGTGTATTACTCACTGGTGGAGTGAATCTGTGAATTGGCGTGGTATGGCCCGTAGTGCAGGTTGGGCAGTCTGGGTGAGGGCAGGGCAGCAGATCCAGACTAAAACAAACACTACAGCAAAGACAAGTAAAGTCCCAATCATTCTCTTTTTGTTTTTCATCTTCTACTCCTCAGTCACGCCATGTTTTGCTCATCTCACCTCTCTCAGATGAACTGGGCATGCATCATCCCTGTCCTCAAACCCAGTTTTTGTTAGGCACATATTACCCAAAACATCTTCTACAGTGTTGTGTCAAAGTGATGTGCTGGCTACCATATCAAGAGTTTAGTTAGGAAAGAAACAAATATGTTTAGACAACGTTCAGAATCCTGGTTTTAAGAGGAGGTCAAAGCTCATAATATCACTCTGGCTCCTCCTCATTTTCCCCTGAAGGTTCTGATTGCGAAAGGATTTCTTCTTCCTCTATAGCCGGCACCTCTTCCCTTTCATCAAGGCCATCAGTCGAATCATCCTCTTTGCTTGCTTGCTCCTCCTCTTCCTCGTGAATGGCTGTGATTGGATCTGTGGGGCTGCTGATGCACTTCGGGTCCTCTTTCTGAGCCTCCTCCTGGACTTCTGCAGCGATTACTCTTTTCCACATTTCATGGTTTTCCAGAATATGCTGCGTGATCTGGCAAAACACTTTCCTCCTGCTCACCTTTTTGGTTTGTTGCAGCTCTGTCAGACACAAAGTCAACAGTTAGACACAACCTTGGAAAAGTTGGTCATGACCTTGCTTTCCCAAGACTGAGACTAAAGGATTAATAGCTGCACTGATGTCCGTACATTAGCTTAGCTTAGTTTAGCATCAAGAGTGAACAAGTTATATGTCATTAGTCTCATACATACAAAAACCTTTATGTAAAATCCAAACCTGTTCCTTTCCAAATTAACCACGCCTCAAATCTACACTTGACACTACTGAAACTAAAAAAAACCCCCAAAACATTAATTATTAAGAGGTTGACATACGGGAGGTGTCAGAACCTGTTGAGGCTTCCTCATCTGCAGTATCCTCCTCTTCCTCTTCTGTGTCTTGTCCCTCCTTTGCCTCTTCTGACTCCGTCTCCCCCTCAGGTGGATCAACCCAGTGTCCTGGCATAAGAGCAGCAGAGGCGTAGGAGGAGCACAGAGGCCCCACTATGTGAGTGATGAATGACTCCTGTAGTTTAGCAAGCTGTGGAGCAGATCGGTCCATGAATGGGCTGATGGGAAGGCCCAGGCTTGCTTCCTCGTCACCCTAGAAGGGTACAAACATGGCAAATGTGTGAGATGCACAGAGATGCTAATATATAGCAATGTGCTGGAAAATGAACATATAAGCACATTATATTTTATAATAATACAAGTTGAGATTGGATTGAGAAGATTGGTCTGGTTCAATCAAGGAGGCCAGAATTAATGGGGCAGGAAGTAGGGCAGGACCCATTAGCCCTCCAACACCTCTGGCCCACATTTATTGAAGTCACAGAATGCTGTATTGGGGCTGGAGTGATCCTATTCCAAGGTGGTCTCTAGTTCTCTCTGCATTTCATTGTTACCAGCTGCGACGACTGGTATTGTTTTCACTTTGTGAGTTTAGCCCCATTTCCACCAAGTAGTACAGTATGGTACAGTACGCATTTTTCAGTTTCCACTGTGAAAAGTTGCGGATGGTACCAATGGATCTGTTCCGTGCCTTCCCCATTTTTGGTCCCCCCTCTGTTGGGGTACCTAGCACACAGATCTGGTACTAAAAGGTGGAGCTGTGAACACTGCAGTCTGTTGATTGGTCAACGGCGGACGGTCACTCTGCTCAGGGCTGAGGGGTGGCTGGTTTTGAGGCTCATGTAAGCACTGTTCATACCGTGGTAAGTCTTCAAGGGTTTATATTAATTTCAACTGGATCATGTGAACGGTATATACTCTAATCCTCACTTGGAGGAAAAAAAAGCGCTGCAGAGCGTTGTTCCTGTGGGCTCTGGCAACACTAAACCCCTGAGCTTGCCTTAGAAGGACTAAATGCACAAACCAGCTATCCTTAAATATCCCATGGAGAGAGACTCTCACTGCAGTCTGTTCTGTTTTGTTCAGAAAATGGTGGCATGCAACTTTGTTCTGTGGACGATAAACAAGGTGCAGACTTCCATCTGTGTCACCTGTAATAAGGACATACAGTGAGTGCTGGACGGAGCAGTGAGTGACAACAACCCCGCCCACATTTAAGAGTACTGTTTGTGGTGGAAAAGCCAGGGTCTAGGTACCATGTCTGAAGGGTTACTTTTGGTTCCAAAGGTACCATACCGAAAGTGTTTGGTGGAAACAGGGCTCATCATCATGGCATAATGTGGTCCTGGTGACACATACTGTAGAGGGAACTACCAAAGAAGCTGTTTTGACTACTTCTGCGCATGTTTATACATCTGTCTGCCCGTAAACAGATTTTGTCAACACAATAAAGTCGCAACCATGCAAGATGCAATCACAAAACTTTACAGGGGTCTATTGAGATCAAAACGTAGGCCAAGTTCAAAGATGGGTGTGGTCTAAGCAAAGGCCCTGGAAATAGTGTGGTCGGAAGCAAGATAAAGGGCCATTGCCCCCCTCCCCAACTTTACGCCCCTGGCCTACATCCTCTTTTAAGTCATGGATCGTTTTACCGCGACTGGAATGAGCCGATCACAAAACAGTCTCTAGTGTTTTGATGGTATTTTTGTTTTCTTTTTCATGTGTTTCTCCTTACATTTAGTGTTTCATTTGTAACTATACTGAGAAAAGTACTACATTACATACATTTAATGATTTATCAAATACACTGATATTGTTTATAACATTTTAATAATTTATCTGGCTTGTACATGCAGGTTAACGCCATATTATAAGTTTTATGTTTTTGTTTTTTAATTCATATACACTGAATATGCCGCTATAAAGTTCCTCTGGAAAGCACAGACAGTCCCAGATACACTACCACTGGATACAATCTCTGGAAAGTAGGTCAAGAAGACTAGAAATAGAAAAACATCAATTCAAACTATGCTGAATCAATCATACAAATGAGACTGTTACATGGCCCCACAAGGTCACCACTGATAAATACTGACATAAATATTCTGACTAATTATCTCTGACCTCCACATATGCAGAGACACAACATGCAATATATCAGATGTTTGTAATTGTACTTGTTGAAGGAGCTATTTATATAACAACTGTCTACTGTAAATGGAGGCTGGATTAAGACAAGCTAAAGTGGTGCCATGCTGCTCCTTCCTTGTACTTGGGGTATTTGTTGTTAATGCCTTTTCTATTTTTCTGTTTTGTGCCCAAAAAGACAGAGCTATCAATCTGGCAACGGAATCTCATCTTTGGATTTGTTCTGCTGACTGCAGTCCTGGTGGCACTGACCATCTTACACAGCATGAATTGGTTTTCTCAACAGAGTTTGTCGCTCATTTTGGGATATTTTCCATTATTTTGACATTTGCTGATAATAAACGCGGCGCCGTGTGGCCGTGGTTTATGTTTCAGTGTGCGAGGAGATGTAGCTTCTGCTGTAACTTCCTATATTGTGGCAGGCATGTAGTGAGCTTTTGTGTTTGTTTTCTGATGTCAGGGCTTTTAAAGCAATTCAGTAGGAGGACAGCGGGGCAAGGGCTGTCATTGCTATGGCAACCTGAAACCTGATTGGCGTCAGTGCACTGCACAAGTGGTTGATGCGATAGGTGTGTGTGTATATGTATAGTAAGTGGAGAGAGAGAGGGAATTGTTCATCATAACAAGAAGAGCATAATATAAATAGATTTATGTGTGTGCAATTTATACAGTGCAGCACATATACATGTATATGTGTGTGCCAGTTACGTCCTTGTGATCTCTCTGTGTGGCTGTGAATGAGCGTTGTGAAGGATGACTCATTTAGGACATCTGTCTCCCCACTGAAGAGAAAAACATACACACTCACTCTGTCTCTCACTAACTCCACCCGTTTGTTACATCTGTGAACAAATACTGAGGACAGTAAATATCAAAAGTCTCACATTAGTGCACTTCCACTAAAAACATGCCCTTACTAGACAGGTCATCGTACTGTATCTCCCTGGCTAATCGGATTTTATCTTTATTGACTTCCTCGGCACTAACTGGACTGACCAATCAGAGGCATTGTTAGTTAGGAGCAGGATTTGTCGCCAGGCTTCCACCTACTATAGTCTCTGACAAATTCATGAGGTAGCAGGTGACTCTTTTGACTACTCTATTTCTGTTCAGAGGGAACACCAAGTGGCACACATAAAACACTCGCTGAAGGGTCCTTGAGTCAGAAAGTAAATCACTATCATCTGCAGAGGAGACGCTATGTAGTCTACCCTGACCTTGCTGAGGAGGAAATGAGCAAAAAGATGAATTGCCTCTTGAGAGAAATAGAACATTACAGTTACATCTTTATCCTTATTATCATTTTTATATATTTTTAGAATCTAATGACAGTTTGTAGGTTGTTTGGTCCCTGTCCATCAAATCCAATCAAGTAACACACACAGAGTCCTGATGAAAGAGAATAATTGAGTTCTTGACCGTTTCAAGGGACGGTGTGTAAGATTTAGGGGGATTTAGTGGCATCTAGTGGTGAGAACTGCAGATTGCAACCAGCTGAAACTTCTCCAGGTTTAACATTCCTTAAGTGTTTGTAATGTTGGCTAATATTAAAGATGTAGTGTGTGGGATTAGTGGCATCTAGCTGTGAGGCTGCAGAATGTGAGCATAGCCTTAATGCAGGCAGGACATGATGTCAAGCTCAGCTCACATCCCAGCTACATCAGCTGATCTTGAACAGCCCAATCAGCTGATGGAGCAGCTGATTGATGGAAGGGAGTCAGCTGATAGATCACATGATTCCTTTCTATGCAACCAATTGGCAAATCTCATTCAGGGCGCCCTATTTAAACTGCTCTGGCCTGCCTACTGTTGCTGCTTCCTCTGCAACCCGCCTCCACTCCAGCTCCTCCTTTTAATGCTGTGTCTGACCTATCAATGTCACTTCTGTTTGTCACTGATGCTGGCTGTGTTCTGTTCCCGGGGGGTCTTTGCTGCTGCTCTCTCTGCCTCAGGCTTTCCTCATAAGCACGTGGAGGAGGCTTTCTGCATAGGCCCAAGGAAAGGCAGAGAGGCCCCAGAACACAAAATGGAAATGTTTCTTTGACTAAAGTGTTCCTGACTGAACTGAAACTTCCTGGTGTGCCAAGCGTGTATAAGAACTATGGGGGCCGAGTCAAAACGTGAATCGCCCGTTTTAGAGCCAGTGTTATTTGTCCATTCTTGAATACTGTAGAACAACATGGCAGACGCCGTGAAAGAGGACACACTCCGTATGTGCTGTAGATATAAATGGTTCATTCTAAGGTAACAAAAACATGATTCTTAGTTTTTATCAGTGAGAATTATTCAGCACTTACTGTACTTAGTATAGTGCACTTCCATCTATGTATAAACTTTAAAAGTTAGATTTTGAAGGAGATTTCTCAGCATACTTGTTCGTAGAACTCATTGACGATCCCCTCTGTCCACTGCAGGTGCAGCTCCTTACACTTCAGCGGTCCATTGACATCAGCCAGCTTGATGCACATCTGGCACACCAGCAATCGATCGTTTTCGTTGGTCCAATCAATACCAGCCACCCCTTCATCGCCCACCTGAAGAGATGTGCACAGGAATGTTTGTGGATTGTAAACAATTTCCCACTGACTGGTAGTCAGCTTTAGTTTAGGACAATTTAGAAGAAAGAGAAATTACAGGAACAGAATAAATAATTTAAAGGGAGAAGAGAAAAGATCACTAATGATAATAACTTTAGATGGATGACGGATGGTTCCTTTGTTGATCTACAGTATATTTCATAGTTTTACCTTTGCATTAAACTCTGCAAGAAAGTCAAAGTGCTTTTTGAGGTCGGTGGCCAGGATGGCTTCAATGACCAGGAAGCGGAAGCGCTTGAACTCCACATGTTCAAGATTAGCCAGGAAGTTAAACTCAGGTCGAGACATGAAGAGGTTCCACGCTGCAGCTGCATGGTGATTTTCCAAGACTGAACGATCGTTGTACAGAAGAGCCTACAGCGGAAGACCAAGGGAAGAAAGTGAAAGTCACATTCAAATTTGGTATTCAAGATGTAAGCTTGTGTTTCGGGAGCTCTGGTATTGGCTCTGCTTTACACTTCTTCATATCACAATTGATATCTGAACTGCTGAGCTCCTGCTAAAGGTTTTTGCTGCTGCACGAACATGCTGGTGCATTTACCTGTGGTGCACTGGTAGCTACTAGAAAGGCGTTGGTTCTTCCTGGATGGTCATAGTCGTGCATGGCAGCAGCTACATACAGGGCCATGAGCTCCAGGCCAGGTATAAGGCCAGCCAGGGAGCCATAGCCGTCCTCCAGCACAGAGTTCATCTTAGACACCAGGAAGCCTGTGGCACCAGGTGTTATGCCATTCTCTGCGTCTAGGGACAATAAAGAGAACAAAGTTCACGCCCCAGTCACTGATAGTACTCTTTACTCAAATGCTGCCATTTCATTAGAGTGTTTAAGGTGTTTATTCACTAAGAAATCAAGCATGTTGTCTCATTTCGCCTACTCGACATTATCTAGCTCTTCTCTTTTATAATTATTTCTGAGGGCATTTTATGACTTTATTAGATACCGATAATATTGAGGGATGACAAGAAATGACAGAGAAGGAACACCTCTTAACCCTAAGCCACAGTGAGTGGTAGGATTTGTTTGACAATGAGAGAGAGAGAGAAGAACACAGCCATGATTAATACCACCCCAGCCCATCAAAAGACTGGTGTTAGATTCAAGTGGAAACAAAAAAGAGATTTACATTGCCCAGAATATGGGTCAGAGGGAACATTCTTGCATGTTAACCATTATCTGCATTAAAAGTCCTCACCAGTGTGTATCCCATTCTCAGTCAGCAGGGTGGGCAGGCCTGGCACAGGCTGAGTGGTGAGGAACCAAACAGCATGTAGCACATCAGTGGCATGGATCCGGTTGTGATCTGGATAGAATAAAATTATTTGTATGTTGGTAAAGAGATGACATTTATTAATAGCAGTCAGCTTCATCTTAAATTTGAGGTACTGGTATTGCAAAAGCTCTCAGTTAAACAACTCTACAGTGCATTAAATATAGTTGTCCCCCTGAAAAGTATGAAAAATGGTTAAAACAAGCATTAATATTTCATTTTAAATGTACAGTACTTCTGTCACATGGTGTCATTTAAATCCCTTGCAGTAAAAACATTCTAAGACTTCATGTAATCGTCAGCTACATCTTTAGTTTTAATGTGAAATTACATGATCATCTTCCGATACCAAACACCAAACAGGAAACCTGATATTCCTGCCAAGTGTGAACAAGGAAAGCATGCTTTATATTACCGAAGCAGAAAGTAGGCCTGTTAGTGATGCTTCATTACTATGACAATGCAATACATCCCTCTTGTGGCAGATAAAGGTAACGCTGGACATAAATAATTCACTGGTACTATTGAATAAACATGAAGATCTTCTACTCACAAGGGATGACCCTGTATCCGTTCTCCAAAGCATGGAAGTAGTTCATGAACTCTTGTACGGGAATTCTAAAGGTCTCAAACAGACCTGTGTCCTCAAAGAGCTTATAGGAAACCTGGGACATAACAAAAGGAACACACACTGTGAGTCGTATCTCATCTTTGTGGAGGTTCAGGGGTCTATTCCAGAAAGCAGGTCTAACCTTGAACTCTGAGTTAAAGAACCCTGAGATGGAAAACTCTGTATTTCTGATCAGTTCAGCCAACTCTGAGTATGTTTAGTCTGAGTTAAGCTCATGTGCGGTGAATGAAAAATGCCACAATGAATGGAGCTCTCATACTACAGTTCACCATGGCAAGAGGTAATAAGAAGCAGAGCCTCCATTTAATGTGGTGGATGTACAGATATTAACGCATGTACAGTACAGGCCAAAAGTTTGGACACACCTTCTCATTCAATGCGTTTTCTTTATTTTCATGACTATTTACATTGTAGATTCTCACTGAAGACATCAAAACTATGAATGAACACATGTGGAGTTATGTACTTAACAAAAAAAGGTGAAATAACTAAAAACATGTTTTATATTCTAGTTTCTTCAAAATAGCCACCCTTTGCTCTGATTACTGCTTTGCACACTCTTGGCATTCTCTCCATGAGCTTCAAGAGGTAGTCACCTGAAATGGTTTCCACTTCACAGGTGTGCCTTATCAGGGTTAATTAGTGCAATTTCTTGCTTTATCAATGGGGTTGGGACCATCAGTTGTGTTGTGCAGAAGTCAGGTTAATACACAGCCGACAGCCCTATTGGACAACTGTTAAAATTCATATTATGGCAAGAACCAATCAGCTAACTAAAGAAAAACGAGTGGCCATCATTACTTTAAGAAATGAAGGTCAGTCAGTCCGGAAAATTGCAAAAACTTTAAATGTGTCCCCAAGTGGAGTCGCAAAAACCATCAAGCGCTACAACGAAACTGGCACACATGAGGACCGACCCAGGAAAGGAAGACCAAGAGTCACCTCTGCTTCTGAGGATAAGTTCATCCGAGTCACCAGCCTCAGAAATGGCAAGTTAACAGCAGCTCAGATCAGAGACCAGATGAATGCCACACAGAGTTCTAGCAGCAGACCCATCTCTAGAACAACTGTTAAGAGGAGACTGCGCCAATCAGGCCTTCATGGTCAAATAGCTGCTAGGAAACCACTGCTAAGGAGAGGCAACAAGCAGAAGAGATTTGTTTGGGCCAAGAAACACAAGGAATGGACATTAGACCAGTGGAAATCTGTGCTTTGGTCTGATGAGTCCAAATTTGAGATCTTTGGTTCCAACCGCCGTGTCTTTGTGAGACGCAGAAAAGGTGAATGGATGGATTCCACATGCCTGGTTCCCACTGTGAAGCATGGAGGAGGAGGTGTGATGGTGTGGGGGTGTTTTGCTGGTGACACTGTTGGGGATTTATTCAAAATTGAAGGCACACTGAACCAGCATGGCTACCACAGCATCCTGCAGCGACATGCCATCCCATCCGGTTTGCGTTTAGTTGGACGATCATTTATTTTTCAACAGGACAATGACCCCAAACACACCTCCAGGCTGTGTAAGGGCTATTTGACCAAGAAGGAGAGTGATGGAGTGCTGCGGCAGATGACCTGGCCTCCACAGTCACCGGACCTGAACCCAATCCAGATGGTTTGGGGTGAGCTGGACCGCAGAGTGAAGGCAAAGGGGCCAACAAGTGCTAAACACCTCTGGGAACTCCTTCAAGACTGTTGGAAAACCATTTCAGGTGACTACCTCTTGAAGCTCATGGAGAGAATGCCAAGAGTGTGCAAAGCAGTAATCAGAGCAAAGGGTGGCTATTTTGAAGAAACTAGAATATAAAACATGTTTTCAGTTATTTCACCTTTTTTTGTTAAGTACATAACTCCACATGTGTTCATTCATAGTTTTGATGCCTTCAGTGCGAATCTACAATGTAAATAGTCATGAAAATAAAGAAAACGCATTGAATGAGAAGGTGTGTCCAAACTTTTGGCCTGTACTGTATATGGAAATTGTGCTCATTTATCTTTAATTCACTATTTAGGTCCTAGCCAACATAACATCTTAAATTAAATTGTTCGGCTTTAATCTAATGGGGACAAAACACTGGGCAGCAGATGATTTTAATGATTTTACACACACCTTAAGGTGCAGCCTAGACACATCATCAGTGATGTAACCTGTGGTCATCGGGTGTTTCGAGTCTTTCAACATCATACACCCTCGCTCAGCCAGGGTAAATCAGACCCCAGGCTGTGTTTCTTATCCACAGATCACCCCTTTTTGATCCACAGCCATCTTGATGCCCTCTCAGCATCATCAGTGATGTTCCTTATGGCTCTCTCGCTGTGCAGTCCTCTGATCCCCAGCAACTTGAGGGCCCTGTAGAGGGACTGGCTGGCAAATCCTCTGCAGCTGACCTCGATGGGGTAGCATCAAGACGTCCATCCATTGCTTTGGCATTCACCAGCGAGCTTGTCAAACTTGGCTTTCTTCCTCTCAAACGCCTCTCCCATCTGGGCTTCCCAGGGCACGATCAATTCTAGCAGGACCACCGGCCTTGATGATTCTGACACGAGAACCATATCAGGCCTGAGCATGGTCACAGCTATGGTGTCTGGGAATTTGAGCTGTCTCCCCAGGTCAACCTTTAGCTGCCCAAAGTCCTTCTGACGGGTTTGTGCGCTGTTGTAGCTTCTCTTCGGCTTTAACAAAAGCAATGGAGTACTTCGCTGGTTGTTGCTGCCTACTGAGAGAGATCCCTGCGCTGATGGCCTCTGCCATAACCCTCAGCACCTGGTTGCGGCGCCAATAATGTGCTTTTGGGCAACAGCTTAATATGTATTCAAGGGACCTCTATTGGATCAACAAATACATCTAAGACTTGGAGACATGATTGTAAGCACACAATCATATCTAGTAATAATGTGTTTGGTGAAATAAAATAGCATATCTGGCTCTGTTAGAGGGAGGAGACACAGAGAAAACCTGCCAGCAAGCAGGTTTGGCTCACAGTCAATTACCATGGTAACAAACCCAGAATTCAAGTGACCTCTCTTTCTGAAACAGAGTTTCTCTCATCTCAGGGTTAGCAAACTCAAAGTTTTCACTTGACCCACTTTCTGGAATACACCCCAGATGTATAGTTGGGTCAAGTCACTTGTCATTCCACAGCACACTTTTTGTTATAGTAAGGTCAAGAATCCACAAGTCAACACAAATTGTTTTTGGAGCTGACATTTTGGTCAACGCTACATGTGTCACTGATCTGTGCTTTCATTTTCTAGTGTTGGTTTTGATGTTGTTGTTGTTGTTGCAGGCTTAAAATGGAAATTCACTCTTACTACCACCTGCACTGATAGCTAATGTCCCTACCACATTGAGCTGCTAATTGAGAAAATGAAAAAAAAAAAAAATCCATTAATATAAGTTCCCTGTAATTGACTCAGTATTGATATGTCTTCATCAAATAGATGTCATGTGAGTTTTAACATTGCCCCACTAATTATTGTCTACCTGACTGAGGATGGAGCCTGTCTTGCCATCGGTCTTCTCCACTAGCCTGAAAATGGGAAAGTTCCAGTTGTTGAGTTGACTCATCAGAGGCTCCAGCGCTGATGTCATCACAGGCTCCACAGCCGAGATTGGCTTGTCCTGTCAGGTGAAGGTAGGGGTACAGAAAGATACTTGTAAATTCAGTGAAATAACTTGATGGTCAACAAATTGGCAAATTTAAGTCATTTTACAATCCACTCTGTATATATTCACTATTGGACTGCACCACTGCTTTGTTTCCAGCCTTTACACCTCCTGAGGTCACCAAGTGGTGTAAAGGCTTTTCTTTCTGGTTGTGCGACCTCAGAATCGAATCTCTGCTTTTTGCAGATGATGTGGTTCTGTTGGCTTCATCATACCGTGACCTCTAGCAGGCAATGGAGCAGTTTGCAGCCAAGTGTGAAGCGGTTGGTATGAGAGTCAGCAGCTCCAAATTTGAGGCCACAGTTCTCTGCCGGAAAATGGCGGAATGCCCCCTCCGGGTTGGGAGAGAGTTACTGCCTCAAGTGAGAGAGTTGTTCACAAGTGAGGGTAGAACAGAACGTGAGATGGATCGTCAGTTTGGTGCAGCTTCCGCAGTGGTGCGGGTGCTGCGCCGGACTGTCGTGGTGAAGAGGGAGCTGAGCCGGAAGGCAAAGATTTCGATTTACTGGTCCATCTACGTCCCAACCCTCACCTATGGTCATGAGCTCTGGGTAGTGACTGAATACAACTGGCCCAAATGAGTTTCCTCAGAGGGGTAACTGGGCTCAGTCTTAGAGATAGGGTAAGCAGCTCGGACATCCAGAGGGAGCTCTGAGTAGAGCTGCTGCTCCTCTGTGTCGAAAGGGGTCAGTTGAGGTGGTACGGACATCTGATCAGGGTGCCTTCTGGGCACATCCTGCTGGAAGTGTTCTGGGCACGTCCCACTGGTGGGAGACCCCAGGGCAGACCCAGAACACGCTGGAGTGATAACATATTTCGTCTGGCCTGGAAACACCTTGGGGTCCCTCAGGAGGAGCTTGAAAGCGTTGCTGGGGAGAGGGATGTCTGGAATGCTTAGCTCGGCCTGCTGCCCCTGCGACCCAGCTTCGGATAAGCAGTTGAAAATGGATGGATGGATGGATGGATGGAAAGCCTTTACAAAAAATGTATGTTGTTTATTGAGCTGTATGTTTACCCAATGACAGCAAATGGTTAAATCACTGTAACCTATTTAAAATAAATGATAAATCTTCTATATTTCTTACTGTCTTTGGAGGGATTTTAAGCAAATTAAAGCACATAAAACATAACAGACATCTTTTCTCGTTACTAAATGAAGCCCCTCTGATTGCCTACCTCTGGTGATGGCAGGAGTGGTTGAAGAACGATGCCCTCCGCCAGATACTCCCTGCAACCTTCCCTTGCTTCAGGCGGCTTTTTGTTTCCCTCTCCCTCCTCTTCATTCTGTGCAAAGTCGCTGCTGTCACTGTGGTTGGTCTCGTAGGTGCTGTCGTAGGTGCTGTCATAGTCTGAAGAAAGTACAGCACGCTCATCTGGGGACAAATTACACATGTTAGACATGTACAATTTAGTGTTACCATGAGGGCAGGTGTGGAGGAGGAACAGTGGACTGTAGGCTGTACTTTGCTGTATACCTGGATGGGGTATTCTGTCCATTTTGTCGACAGATTCTACCCCGTGGTTTAGTCGATTGTTGAATGGCCTGCCACAGCTGATGGAGAGACAGCAGAGAAACACTGACACATTCAGAGGATAAATACTGGTCCATCCTGATCATTCTCCCTCATCTGATAATTGAAACACTTCCCGTCCTCCCAACATAGACTAATGATATAACTCAATTCCCTAATCTTCACACAAATGGACAGTCATACCCACAAAAAGACACAGATGTTTGTGAAACCTCATTATAATATCTGTGAATTTGAACTTTCTATATTAATAATTAAAATGTAATAGGAGCATAACTGTTACCTGCCGCAGAGTGAAGGAGGCCGCCAGTGAGGGGTGGTGGAGCTCGGGGCGCTCTGGCTGTGAGTTAAGGCTCTGTGGTGGCTCTTGGGAGCCACAGAGCCAGGGGTCCGCTCCGTCAGGGGCCCAGCCGGCTCAGGAAGCTGCACTGAACATGTCTTGATGGTAGGGCTGGAGACAGGCGTGCCCTGGACGGGAGGAGATGGGCACGGAGAGCCCAGAGGTGATACGTTGGAGGGGGGGAAACCTGGAGAAAAAAATACTGACTTTAATGTTTCCGTTACGTACTTTGCTCTTGATACTAGTATTTACCTATCTTTATCTAAGTCATTTACTTTTGAATTAAGTTTTTATTGTTTTTTCTGTTTTAAGTCACATCAATTTCAGAGCTAATTTTATTTACATCCGCAACTACAAAATCCTAAATTTGACAACGAACTGTGAGCAGTGAAAAGTGAAGCTAAAAAGGGAATTTTTCTTTTGTAAAAATTCTTTCCAGTTCAAAAAAATCTCCAAAGGCGTGTTTTACCTGCGAAACTTACTCAATTTGTACTCAGCGTGTCAAATAGCTTTGTACATACAGACGTACCTGGTCTTCCCAGTGGTTTGCTGTAGAGGTGGTTGGAGGTGACGGTGGCAGCACAGGACATGGACCGACTCTTTGAGATGGTCATCATCACTGAATGGTTCCATGACTCACTGATTTAATTTAAGAGAAAAATCAGGAAAATTATTTACTGTGACCCTAACATTTCTTTGTGATCTCTGTTACCATTCAAAGTTAATGTGAGTGAGAATGACCTTTCTGTGGTGTGTTTGATGCTGGCTGAGCGGTCTCGGCGTACAGGGCCTGGCTCGATGGTGGGCAGCCCCGTAGCTGAGGTGGTTGTAGTCCAAGTTGATGAGATTCTCCTAAGTAATCCTGGGGGCAGACTCCGTCTTAGACGCTGTAATGCAAATAAACAAACGCATATTTACACACTCACAGAGGCATCGAGGTAGGATGTCATTAGTGTTCTCGTGCACTGGACAGATTCTCAGAATTGAGGCTGTTTTCAATTAAAGCTACCAACAATAGCATCTTATTGGAAACTACAAAGATATGGCCTTGCCTGTGTGTTTGTATGAAAAGTATATGTTCTGATACGTGGAACTAAAAATATGCATATTCTTTGCATGTCAACACTTTTATCTAAACACTTAAATATACACTCACTGGCCACTTTATTAGGTACACCTCGCTAGTACCGGGTTGGACCCCTTTTGCCTTCAGAACTAACTTAATTCTTGGTGCCATAGATTCAAAAAGGTGCTGGAAACATTCCTCAGAGATTTTGGTCCATATTGACATGATAGCATCACACAGTTGCTGCAGATTTGTCGGCTGCACATCCATGATGTGAATCTCCTGTTCCACCACATCCCAAAGGTGCTCTATTGGATTGAGATCTGGTGACTGTGGAGGCCATTGGAGTACAGTGAACTCATTGTCATGTTGAAGAAACCAGTTTGAGATGATCTGAGCTTTGTGACATGGTGCGTTATCCTGCTGGAAGTAGCCATCAGAAGATGGGTACACTGTGGTCATAAAGGGATGGACACGGTCAGCAACAATACTCAGGTAGGCTGTGGTGTTTAAACCATGCTCAGTTAGTACTAAGGGGCCCAAAATGTGCAAAGAAAAAATCCCCCACACCATTACACCACCACCACCACCACCACCACCACCAGCTTCTTCCCCATTCTGATGCTCGATTTGAACTTCAGCAGGACGTCTTGCCTAAATGCACTGAGTTGGTTCCACGTGATTGGCTTATTAACTTTTTCCGTTAACAGGCAGTTGAACAGGTGTACCTAATAAAGTGGCTGGTGAGTGTATATGTTACCCCTGGAGCCTGGAAAGTGAATTCATATGGCTAAAATTTGCATAAACAGTTCATACTTCTTCATATCAGCCCCTCCAGGTTGTTGCAATGTTGAGTTTGTAACCGTTAACACGAACTCAACCAATCCCTGTGAATTTTATGCAACTTTTGACTTATCACCACAACTTTAATGTCTCACATGATGCCCCATGAGCTTCACAAATAACCATGACAGAGACTGTTACATCCAGATGTATTGCACGCATTAAAAGAATCAAGGTAAGTTTCAACATACATAGTAAGTGGCCACGTTAGTGGTATAAATCATCATGTCTATCATATAAGCCTTTGATTTTTCATCTGGTCTTGCAATTTCATTGCAAAAAAAAAAAAAAATTAACAAAAAAACAAACAACAACACCTAAAGATATTTCAACACTCATCACAATTTTTTAGTCAATCCCCAAAAGAAGCCTGCGAAATCCTTGAGGAACTGACTTATAAATGCCAGGCACGGCTGACAAAAAGCTTGGCTCATATTTATTATATGACCATAAAAGAGCACACAGTTCACACGACTCAAAACAAAATTGGAATCTGGAAAAGAAAGGAAAACACAGGACCACATAAATAATATAGCTCTATTTAGAAGTATAAGTGATGTTTCAGCCTCAGGTACATGTTTTACCCAATAAACTGAACTATATTTTCACACACAGAGAAAGAGAGAACTGTTGTGCTTCCCTTTTAATCCCAAAAACTGAATATGTCAAACTTGAAGGATGACATTTTTGTTTTTTTCAGCACTTGGGAGGCAGAATAGTGAGTGGAAAGGAGTCATGCTTGTTTCGCCCTGTGGTGTCAGTCTATCCAGTGCTGTACATTTTATTGTAAAGCCATGAGCTAAACTCAGATATTTGTAAGTTTGTGCATCTCTCTCTCTTTTTCACACACACACACACACACACACACACACATACTAGAGGGCAGCAAAGGATCAAATTTCACATAGTATCGAAGAAAATCATGTCCATCCCTCTTTGTCTGTTTACTTCATCGGCAGATACACACACTGAGACACATCACTGCCATCCAAACACACACACACACACACACACACACACACACACACACACACACACACACACACTGTGCTCTGTGGCATACTTCCCTCCAACAGCGAAGGCAAGCTAATCAAAGGCATCTAATAGTGTGTGAAAGAACGACAGAGGAGGAGGAGAGTGAGATAAGGGGCATTTGGTGGTAATCAATCACTGTGAACATCATGTCTGCTTTCACTGTTGTGAATATTATTACTGTTCATTAATGAAGCCTTAAGTGCAGATCTGAAACATCTGCACTACATTATTATGCAATAATGTTTCTGATAATAATGTAAGCAGACATGTTGGCTGTGATGGATTCCTGCATGTTATCTTGGATGTTTTACATAAAGTCTCTTCACTACTTTATTTCCCTGCTGTAGACAAATAAATATAATCCACTATGGTGTGCTGTAGAAAATATGAGGCTTATGGGGCTGTATTATAAAGAAAAATCTGTGCATCAGAATTGTGGCTCATTGTTCAGGAGCTGCTATAAACTTGACAAATAGCCAGCACTGCTGGAGTTACACCATGGGAAAAGACGAGTGAAAGCCAAATGGTTCCCCAGCTTTTAACAAGAAATGAAACAAAGCGCTTTGCTGTCCCAAAATAACAAATGCACCTCAGTCATCAACATTTCTTATTACCTTTATGTAACCGCTATTTCTGTCCTTAGTTCAGAGCCATACAGCAGGGCATCACGAGTGAGCTGAATCACCAACTTCAACCCACTGCTTCACGCAGACTCACAAATCCCCGATGAGCTAAAATGAGGCAGCATCTCATTGAGTTTCACTACATGGGTCGAGCATTTGAGTGCACTCAGGCAGCGTTAAAGCTGCTTGTCACTTTCCTGGTAGGCTATCCTGCATTGCATCACACGCTTTATTTAGTTTCCTTGCCGCCTTAAGTGCCCGCATACATTTTGAAGCACTGGCCTTGTAAAACATTAAAAAGCCCTCTTGAAGCCTGTGCGTCATTGTTAGCTACATTAGAGCCCCACACCACCCCAGCAGTGAGGGAGGAAACTGGGGTGATGACAGTGTGTGTGTGTGTGTGTGTGTATTGACATGTACTGCAGCATACAACAATTTTTCTTTAACATATTTACTTCCTGATGGAAAACATGATTTAAGTTTTAAGGGAAACTCCACCAGTTTGACACATCAAGGTCTTGTGGAGTGCTCCTCCACAAATATGTAACAAACAAAAGTTGCAAGAAGTCCTTTTGAGGCTCCAGAGGGAGCTGAGTAAATCTGATAAATCTGGGTGAGGAGTAAGCGTAGAGGCTGTTCATATCACATAATGCACCTGAATTTCTGACAGCACTGTGAGCACTGGTGGTGCATTGTGGGTAATGTAGGCACCAGGTTTTGCCAAAGATGAAGAACGCTTGTAATGAAAAGGACAATATCACATGTTCTGCTGTGTTGATTGATGAGTAATCACTTCATTCTGTTAGAATGAAGTGATTACTCATCATGACCCACGCTGCAAGTATTAAAGTGAGTTGTACGCAGTTCAACCAAAATGCAATCTCTAGAGGTCGGGGAGGTGAAAATATGTTTTTTATTTCACAAGACGAAAAAGCAAAAATTTAAGTTTCTAATCTTCTCTAATCATTTGGGGGTCCGACCCTCAGGTTTGGGACCATCACTAAATGATTAGGACTGTCATGATTTCTATTCTAAATCAAAAATAAGTGGAAATGAGCTTTCGATTCTGACTTTCAGAATCAAAAGTGAACAGGCAATTTTCCCATTTTTTTCCCTCTATACATCCACTGACATGTGCGCATCCTAGGAAGACAACAACAACAAGGCTTCAAACTCGACACAGCTGACTGCTAACCTGCAGCTGCACTTTTCGAGACACCATGGCCAACGTCTGAGCCAGAGATGGAGAAAAAACAGAACTGGAAACTCCTCCTACTTCACTGAAGTCAGTGGTGTGGTGTTCCCTGGGAGTTAAGTTAACAATGAACACGTCGTTGACAGAAAAACTACAGTTTTTAGGTTATATTACACCATCCACTGGTACCATAGGCCACCTCAGGCAAAACAGGATCTGATGGCGTTTTACAAGTGAGGAAACTGTAGCTGTTGGACAGATATAGCGTAAAAGGGAGAGAGAGAGTGGGGATGACATGCAGCAAAGGGCTGTGAGTTGAAAGCCGACCAGTGGCCGCTGCAGCAAGGACAAGGCCTTTGTATATGGTGCGCCTGCTCAACCAAGCGAGCTAGTGGGTGCCCCAATATTGTTTGTGACCTTAAAATCAAAAGCCCGGTCAAGTCGTGGATTTCAAGAATCGTGACACCTCTTCTAATGACCCATGTGTTGATATATCTATCTGTATTCAGGTTTGTTATTCAGGTTCAAGTGGGAAGAAGCAGCGGGTCTGTTGGGCAGCTGAGTGAAGTGGAGCCTGAGGAGGAAGCACCGGTTCGCCTCGGTTTCACTACAGGCAGATTCACTTGCTACAGGGGCGAGGAAATAAAACCTGAACAGCCAATCAGAGTGATCTCTCTGACTGACAAGCTCCACCGCCGATTCAATATGCTCAGTCGGCCGAAAAGCCGCCGACGGTGCGGGACACACCGCAAAAACTAGGGCGACAGACGCTCACCGACGGGCAACTGTTGGCTTGGTGTGTCAGGGCCTTTAGTTATTGCAGTCCCGCATTGTTGACATTAGTCGGCCCTTGTCACCTGTTGTTAGGCTGATTCAGCTTGTTGAATCGCCATCAGAGATTGAATGAAATCACTGACGGGCAGTTCAGCTCAGTTCTTGCAGGTGAAGAGAAACGGGAGTAAGGAAAGCAAAGAAACGGCTAAAGTCAAGAGAGAGTGAGTTTAAAACCAACTTGTTACAGTAGGTAAGATTATTTTTTTTAGCAATTGAGCACTTTACAGTTAGTAATTGTTTGCTAGTGAAAAGTAAATATTCTTTGTTCTTTCAATATCAGGTTGTGTTGTTAATGTGCTAACTGGCTAAGCAGCATCTTGAATTCGACCTTTCAGTTTTGCGGTTTCCCTTTTTGAATGACGAACATGGGCATAGAGCGTATGTGCTAGTTGACCATTGGCTGTAGGCTTTGCGGTGTTCATGTGCAAAGTTTCTCCTGGGACACAGGCAACGTGAGGCAACACAACAGTCAATGTCTGGTTCTTTAATCAGCCCTGTGCAACAGACTGTAGATGTGATGGAACACAATTACTGTCATTTGAAGTCCTTTTGGACAGCAAATCAATGCTTTCATTTTTTTGGCTTTTACCTTTAATCAATAGGACAGTATGAGAGGTTAAAGGGGGGCAGAGACAGGGGATGACATGCAGCACAGGGCCGCAGGCTGGAATCGAACCCTCGACCACTGCGACAAGGACATTGCCTTTATACATGGGATGTCCACTGTCCCCACTGAGGTACTGGGTACCCCGAATCAATGCTTTCTATTAGCTGCTGAGTGAACTTATGTGATTTGAAAATGTGGTTCAGCCATGGGATATCAGCTCATACACCTAACCACAGACACAAGAATGAACTAAAACACATTTTTTAAAGAAGACAAACATTTACCTTTGGAATGGCCAGTCTCTCTGCTTTTTCCGGCCCGTCCTCGGAGTCAGAGTAGGTGTGTGTGTCTGCAGGGACACGAGGCCGGTGGAGTGGCTGGAGGCTGATCTGAGTGCTGAGGAGGTTGCTGACGGCCTTCAGAGAGCTGCAGGTGTTAGGGGGCAGCGAGGGGTCTGCCAGCAGGTCTGAGATCAGACCGTGTGCCTCACCCATCACCGCGATGTCCACTACCACGCTGGTGCCTGAAGACTGGAGAAGAGGAGATAGAGACGGAGATAAGAATTCTTTGTTCATCTTTTCTGGTGAAATGCAATGATGATGCGGTGAATAAACGTCACAACAGACTGACGCACGCAGCTTCTTTATCTCTGTACCTGAAAGAGAAAGAGGATATGTTTGTGTGTAGTGGAGACGGCACATGTGCAGTGTGTGTGTGTATGTGTGTGAGCATCTATCTTTATGCTAAATTAAACATTTCACAGTCCCAGGAGGAACTGACTATGACATCCTGTCTGTTGGTGTATCAACAGCTCCGTCAGGTGATGTGAGAGTAGGATGAACATGTGAACGATAGAAAGGAGTAATGACAGTGTTAAACATGTCGACGCCAGAAAAACATCATTAGCAGTCATTCTGCAATATTCCTATAAAGAAAAGCACACCCGTCTCCCATGCCACCCCCTCCTGCTCACACGTAGCTGCCACTGATTCATCATATTGACAGGAAGGCCCAAAGGATCGTCTATGTCAAAGGTCAGCCACGTTAGGCTTCAGTGATGGATTCCACTGTTAATGTCAACATGTGCTAATCAGCTCCTCTTTAGCTTATAATCAATTTACACACACTCTGAAATGCATGTACCCACACACACCTACACAGACATGTAAAGTTAATATACGTGTAGAGTGTATATAATTGCATGCATACAACATTTAGCATGTGATATTAGCAAAGTCAATCCATATGAATGCAGAGAAAGCTAAAGATACGTGACTATGTTTACATGCAAACATAATATTTGACTATTGCCAAAAAGAGAGGTTGCTGGATATTCCAAATTAGGCCTTTTATGCTCGAAGAGCATAAAGCCCACATTTTTAGTCAGAGGCAGAGACACGACTACTTTTAAACATCACAAACGACTTGAATATTATCAGGTTTTTGGATATGCGTAGCGTAAATATGGCAACATCAACCTTTTCCAGAAAGCAATTAAAGGAATGAAAGAAAAATTCTTTGCTGTCACAATGTCAAACAAGCCCGCCACTGGTGGAAAACTATGAAAAAAAATCATATCTTAATGCATTACCAGCAAAATGGCAAGTGGTTCCTGCCATTCCACTTTTCCATACTTTAATGTGATAAACAACATGTTAGCACACGTTAATCGAAATATACTCAACTGCATGCAAATGGGTATATTAGTGGAATACTCATTTTCATTAGCCATGTACACAGCTTCATAGGAATGTTGTCTTTTTGGGAATATGGGTAAAAAACGGAATATTTTGTTCATGTAAATGTAGGCAATGAGTACATGAAAAAGAAGGCGTTGCTACACTGTAGACTTTGAATGTAATTAACATATCTTGCAACTATACAACAATGGAAAACAGATGTGTTTACTAGAGTACAGATAATTTTTTTGAAGTCTAAAATTTGTGTAAAAATAGGATCTGCACATTTGGATCAATGCAAGTATATCAAGATACTTGCATTGATCCAAGTGTGCAGATCCTATTTTTACACAAGTTTACACGTGGTTTTCTGGCACCTTGGCATACTCTGGTCGTGAGTGCAGTGATTTGTTCCTTGAAGTCTAAAATTTAAAATCTGAAAATCAATAATAATATATGGACAGTATTTCCAGAAGCATAAAACATTAAAACAATATGACATGTTTATATGCCATGGTTATTGCAACTTTAAGTCACAAAGAGGCACAGCCCGAACAGTTGTGTAGGGCTGGACACAGCAGACTACACACTTAATGACTAGAAAAGCCATGACTAGAAAGTTGTGTTGATATGCATCCCCTCAGAACCTTGCCAGAACACAAGTACTTGTGTGTGATCTGTGAATAAAATAAAGAAAAACACCAAATTTGGTTAAATAGAAGAGAAAGAGGAAGTCAGGACTGCACTGCAGAGGGAATTGGCAGTGAGTGAACTTTGGAAGAGTCAGCTGAGCTGCAGCTCTCCACTGAACCCTGGATGAACCGTGTTATAAAACAATACTGTCAAACTCATGGCAGATCACACCGTTTTACTGTTTACTTGCCTCCCTGTTTTTTCTAAAGTATTATTTCTCCCACTCATGCCTGTGATGTTGACACTTCTAGTATGAATCCTTAAAACTTTGTGTACTTTTAAAATAATCTCAATGGGAATGACTGGCAGCTACTGAACCAGAAAGCTAATGCTTGACACGTTTGAGTCCTTAAAGGAATTCCTCACTCCCCAAATGACCATTTGTATATCAAATACTGGCACAGTGTTATTTTAAATTTGTGAAGAAAGCTTGTTTTTCTCACATGCCTCCACAGTGAAAGAAGAATCCAACTGAGCTTTTCTGAGTGTTTTGATGTTGTGCTGTTGTTTAAAGGGGACCCTATGACTTCAGTTCATCAAGCATGCTTTCGTTTCTTCGTTCACCATGAAGGTATGTGATTAAAACAACGTTTTCTTAACAAATTCAATGTGACAAAGGTGAGTAATTGATATACAAATGGATATTTGGGGAAGTGAAGTATTCCTTTAACGCCTGTCTTTAGCCAAATGCTCGATGTTGCCTGTTTGTCAATATTAGTGCTAACACAATACCAACTGACTACTTACACAATAGTGGTAAGTCTTGGTACCACTATGAAAACTTTTTTTCTAAAATGGACTTCGAGACTTATCAACACATTTTTTTCTGCAAAACTCGTTTCTCATTTAAGGAACAAAGAAAAAATAATGACAAAAATGTTACACGGTAAAATAGTCCTACATTTTCATTTACACTGGGAATAACTGGTATGTGTGTTTACTCCTAAAGTGTCAGGTAAGCTCTTACTTGGAGGAACATGTCTTGATCTTTTGGACCAGTGCTGTTAAGTGTTAATTTCGTTGAAGAAAACTATGACAAACATTTTTCATCAACAACCTTTTATCCATGATGAAAATGAGACAATGAGGAGCTAGAAATACATCTTGATAATAAAAATTAAGACAAATCTATGCTTCACTTTCACTGACAAGAAGAGACGGGACGAAAATGTTCATGGTTGACTATCGGACATTGAATGCTGAGAACAGCCGTGCTTGTAATACCGCATGAGCAACAGGCTGGTAAACTTCAGCAAATAGTCTGCACCAGGATGTTTTGCTAGTCAGCAAAAACACTCACACCAGAACAGGGTCAGCCGTTGGTGCGAGTTGTGAGCTGTAATTCAGCAGTAGATAATCAGCCTTATGTGTCTGACTGTGGATGGTGGAGCTGTTTAATGGATATGTGGAGTTTGTTAAATGTAGTGGTGGCAGGAAGAAAAGAAGCATGCGGAAGAAGAAAACCCGGCTCATGTATTGGCCAGGACCGAAAACAGAAATCCATCCCCTTCAGCTGGCTTGGTCACCACAAAAACAATGGAGCAACACCAAATTTATGCAGTCTTGGGGTTTCTGTTTTTAATTTGGTGTTTAAACCTAATTGTTTTTTTACAAGAAGCTGCCCAGTATGAGCAGCAGACGAGGCAGCGAGCTATCCAGCATGTTGCTCTGTACATGAGACGAATGCAGCAGTACCGAAAAAGACAGCGGAGAGTGAGAGACTACGACGTGCTGCTGTGGTTACGCAGACGCCGAGCGAGGTATTGCAAGGATTTAAAAGTTTTAAGATTACAAATATGTCCGTAAATCATACGTAAGAGAGAATTAAGCACTTTTCTCATAAATAAGGTGCACTGCGCTCAGGGTTCACTTGCAAGTGAACCTGAGACCCCCAGTTTTCAAGCGGACCAGGGTTTGCTCGTTTGGTCCGCACCAGAGTTCGAATGAGCATTCACACCACTCCAAACGAACCAAACCGTGGAAGTGGACCAGGGTTCGTTTAAAACGGACCAAATAGCGCCAGTGTGAATGTGTCCTCAAACTAATAAGCATTTTCTCTCAAGACTAAGACTAAATCTAAAATAACTGACAAAATGAACACTGGTGCTCATATGTGTGTGTGTGTGTGTGTGTGTGTAAAGCATTTCGATAGCAAGGATGAATTTGGTTATCATGAACATAGTGGAGGAAGGGTATGTTAAACAACAGTTATTCCCAACAGCTCATATGCTATTCAGTATTAAAAAAATCACTTGTAAAAAAAAAGAAACACGATGTAGCCTAATGATTACAGCCGCTGCAGTTGCGGCTGAACTTTGTACAAACACTGTCTATGTAGTTTGTATCATCATCATTAAATTGATAACAATTTGTGTTGTATAATGTATGTGTCGCTACCGCTGACACCTTGATGAAGGCAAATCACAACCAACAATAAAAAGCTGTTAAAGTAAAATAAAAAGTGAAATGGAAATGAATGGAGAGCTCATGGAGCAGGTGATTCAAGGTATTCAAACGGACTCCTGCTTTCCTCCTGCATCCTCCTCTCCGCCGTTGTGCAACCACAAGACGAGCTCACATGATCACTCCATCAGCCCTCACTCTCCCATCTGCCTGCCCCCTGAGGCTGCTAGGCTTGGCGACTGGCAGCAACCTCTGCTTTTGCCACTCTGCTTGTATCTGTGCCGAACTTTTTCACTCCAGTTTCATTTAGTTGTTTCTCATATACTGACCCTGGGAGTTTACTTATTTTGCTCTATTTAACTCACACTGTCTTAATTCTCTATCTCACGTACCAATATTTGTCTGGTAGAGCTCCGTCTTAGGTAGATAAAGATGTGCAAGTGGAGTAAAGGGAGGGAGAGAATAAAAGACAACAACAGCAGCACCCCCTCCCTCTGTATTTAAACACAGTGACAGATGATGCTCATAATTTGCTTCCTTAAACAGATTGTATTAGCTCTTCAAACATGTCAGAGCTCGGGGCTGCGATGTGATAAGTAAATGCATCAAGCACATAGGAAGATAGTTTCCTGTAAGAGTGTGTGTCTGTATGCGTGCATGTGCGAGTGTGTGCATGTGTCACCTCAACCTGAACAAAACCCATTAGACCACTCCAGAGCTTTATGACATCCTGCTATTGTGACATTCACCCATTA